AACTCGGGGTCCCCGGGACTGTGACCCAGTCTCCTGGTTAGGGTTTTCATACCCTCATGCCGGGTGTTCGTTTGACAGAGTTGTAGTGTTAAAGTGGAGCATACCACGGTACTTCTTATTTGAACGACTATAAAATTACTCGGTCCTGCTTGATCGTCGATACTGCTCGGAACGAAACCGAGCGGTCGAGGTTGTCGTATGTGTCCTCTCTTCAAGCAGTAGAACAGCCGTGAGCATTCGATTTATGTTCACAATCTCGACGTTCCAACCCTGTTTGTCATTATGAACGCCAATCATCATTTCACAGCGCAATACAGTAAAGCGGACTTCATTGATCGCTGTCAGACTCAGTGCACGCAAGGTTAATAAGAATGTTTAAGGAGGATAAGGATTGGGCCTTTTTTAGGAACCGGAAAGAAAGCCAACCTCTGTGGTCAACACAGTACGCAGTCCACACGTTTTCAAGTATTCTAGTTTGATAAGAAGTGACAGCCGTCGGTTTGCTGTGATGACCTTCAGTGTCGCCAACCATCCGGTTACAGTCTTTTGAATCATGATCCGGAAGACGACAGACACCCACTCCACCTAGTCGCTCTGTGCATTTCATCAACACCAAGAGTTGTTCGGCAGCTTGACCGTGTCCCGACCACAAACAAATCAAAGACGGAGTTGATTCTGTTTTTTAAAGGCTTTGATACTGTGACCTGTGACTCCATCCGGACACATACGGAGTGTAAAGTTTATGTTGTAAATCTGGTTTCAGGAGATCGACTATTATCTCGTGCGCTGCTCCAGGCTGTCAGTCCCACTGGGAAGACCAGCGAGATAGAATGAATAATAATGTGATACAAATTTGATATCGTTTTTTATTTACCGATTGAGGGATATACACAATTTGTCACCTGATGCTAATTCATTAAATTCACAGCATACAGATTTAGAATAAAACCGTCTGTTTCTTCTCTCTCTCTCTAATCCAAAATATTTGCTGATCCCTAAGCGGTTAATGTGATCGGTTACACGGACCCGAAAGTCGTTAGTCTGAATTCTGTCACCGTAACCCAGATAGCCTTTGATTGACTGCAATTCCTTTCCTGAGTTTTGGTTGTGCCTTGGTGAATCCAATGAATAAACAGGAAGTAGACAAATTCTCATTATCATGTAAACTTTTAATTTACCCTTGATCACAGTTCCGCATATTAATTTCTGAAATCTGTGTGTGGTTTTTTCTGACTTCTTTTTATTCTTTGTTCGTTTTCATGTTTCTACCGCACACCGTCTTTGAGCCGGAGGTGTGTACAATCATCTCTTATTTTCTTCCATTGTTGTTCGCGACATAGCTATCGTTGGACTTGACCCATTTTGACTATCTTCTGCTCAAATTGGACGCTTCCCGACCGGATGTGGGGGATACGGAGAGGAAGCCGTTGTTGGCCAGGGTGAATGAAAAACGGTATGTCTAGCAGATTTCGTTTTTTCTTCTTTACACTTAAAGTCCAAATGCGATCGCTGACACAGCCAGCATATGCAGTTATTGCCCATTCTGGGTGCGACACCGTTTGTAGAGAAGCTCACGTGGATCATCTGAAAACGGTCCCGGCCACAACGTTCCCCATCAACCTGCGGTCGAGGTAATCTAGTGTTGGCGGTCAGGCAACCTTGTTACCTTGGTTCGAACCGTGCCTCTCTCTTTATTGGCAGACTGATTCCATGTCGCCCATCTCAGCACCGGATGTCTTATTGGAGCCCTATGCGGTTTGTCACTCCAAGTATCATGACTTAAACTTTGGTGAGCTAACAGCAGGTGGTTGTGGGATTCACTCCTGCTTTTCATAT